CTCCTGCCCTTCGCGGCTGGAATCGATGTGGCAGAAATTCAGTTCCTCCCCCGCCCAAAATAATGGCCTGAAATGCCAGCAACGGTTAATTTGAAATCTGAGAGTTACTGTTACAAGCTGACATTCTTTTTACATGACTACCCGGCAGCGTTTTGCCGTGCGGGGTAACTGATTCGCGAAATGTTTTTATCAGCAAATGAATAAATCAATTAGCTTTTTCTCCCCCCTCTCCTTCCCACCCGTTTTGATCTCAACGCCTGACACAGCAGCACCGTTTGCTGCATTATCATTAGTAAGGGCGCTTGAATAATAGGTTGCTCATTCCCACCCCCCCCTTTCGAAAATATTAACTGTGGAAGAAGGGCATTTTAAAGATGGATATTTTGGTGAGAGGGTGTATTTTTTGTTCCTCACTCCCTCTTCGGATCGTGCCCGAATTTATTTCTATGTCTTCTTCTTGAACTACTTTCCAAACTCCAGCTCTGTAAAGCACTACAGTTCTTAAATATATATATATATATTTTTTTTTTCAAATAGAAATCTCTTTTCTTTGCCTGTGCAAGCAAAATTAAATTTTATCCTGTTCGAAACTTCTAATTTTTGTCTACAGCTCAGTCTTAAAAAACCCCAAACTCTTCTTTATTCTTTCCTCTAATTTATCTTGACTTTCTTTTTCTTTTCTCCTAGCTCTCCTTGCAATTTTCTACCATCTGTAGCAATATGTACATAGTGATTCATCTTTAGAGAATAGAAAAGGCATCAGCTGTAGGTATAGATATATTCCTTGGCAGTGGGGCAGTCCATGTGAGAGGAATGGGAGTGAAAACAGGTAAAAACCTGTTCTCCTTACTCGTGTAAGTAGTTCCAATAATTCAATGGGATTACTCGTCTAGGTAGAGCAAACAGGATTGAACCCTATTGGTTATATTAAATGAATCCAGTTAGCCTGGTAATTGAATATACTGGAGACTGAGTTTCTATGTTTTGTCAAAGTTCTCTTTTAGTTCAGAAGAAGCAAAATATTTGAATACTTTCTGTATTTGTTAAAAAAGGATGATTAGCTCCTTAGTCTGCATGATGCAATTCCAGTCATAATACACAGCAGGGTTTTGCAGTTTTTCTTCTCCCCCCTCCCCTCCCCCCCGATCTGCTGTTTTGGAATTGCTTTTCGAAGTTACTAATCAGCTAGCTTTGCAGGAGACTACACATGGCAGAGGAGCTGGGCTTGCTTATCTGCGTTGAGGAACTTGTACTGAATGTGCCTGACGGTGCAGGCAGCTGAGCCTCCGTGGCAGGGGGACTTCAGTAGGAGCTGAGGGGGTCCAGGATTTGTAGCAAGTGCTTGGCACCTGGAGAGACTGGCTCCAAATGGAGCCCTTCTACAAACACAGCTTTAATGTTTTTCTTCTGCAGCTTCATTCCTAATGCTGCTTTGTTGTTTTAGGTTACCGTCCTGTTACAACAGACCCTTACCTGGGAGGGAATTCACCCTTGCCACCCCCTGTAAGTGACAGGATGAGAAAGAGACGGGCTTTTGCTGATAAAGAGTTGGAGAACATTATGCTAGAGAGAGAGTATAAAGAGAGAGAGATGATGGAAGCCACACAAGCAGCTGCCCTTTTTCTCCCTAACCGCATGGTGCATGGAGCTGAATACAACTCGTTTAAAACAGCCTTCAACACTGCTCAAGCTGATACTCCAAACAAGGAGTTTTGCAATTTTTTACCAACCTGCCTTGATCTAACCATGCAGTATTCAGGATCCAGCAATATGGAACTGATTTCTTCAAATGTCAGTGTAGCTACTACCTACAGGCAGTATCCCCTGTCTTCTAGGTTCTTAGTGTGGCCAAAATGTGGTGGCCCCATTAGCGATGCTCTCCTCTACCAGCAATGCGTGTTAAATGCTACTACTGTCCAAGCTCTTAAACCTGGGGCAGGTTGGGATGCCAAGGTCTCACAAAGTCAGGACTGTCCAAACACTGAGCACGACATCATGTCTCCAAAACTGGAAAATTCACTCGTTCTGACCCACATGCAAGACATTCAGCAGTCATGTAATGAGATACCGTGCCTTCCTCAGGAAGCTCGTGAGAGGTCAGCTTTCTCTCCTCCAAAAAGGACTTTCTCTCAGATTTCTGATAAGGATTCTCTGGCTCCTCAGGAACAGGTATTAAGCAAGATCAGCAAAGACAGTACCAAGCCCCCTCCACCACTCAAATACAATCCATTTCAGTCGCTGTTCCAGCAAACATTTCCTGACAGATCAGGAGCAGAGTTGAGAACACCATTTGTGAAAGAGACTTTTGAAGATGCTTCTAAGAAATACAGAGAGTGTGCCATTAAAGAGAACAAAAAATACAAGTTTACAATAGACAAATGTGCAGAAGACTTCTTTGGGGCCAAACAGGCCACATCAAAACTTTCAGCAACTGAGCCACTGTCATTTTCAGTTGAATCCATCCTTAAACGACCTTCTTCTGCAGTTGCTAATGTCTCTCAATGAATAAACTATACCTTCAGTGTAGAGAGTTTGTATACTTTACATTCTACAGAATTGCTACTTTCTGCTTTGTCGCTTAAAAAGATTTGTAAAGAGGAATTTCTGCTGTAAATGGTAATTCTTTCTTTTATCTCAAAATGATGTACATAAATATACATGTTTTCTCTTTGGCAAAAGAAATATATTTAATTTTTTAAAATTGAAACTGCATGTACAGGCTGTAAAGTGTTGTTATTTTAAGCAGCACTTCAAACTATTCAATAAAATAAGATTACCTACTACCATAGATGGATTCCTGATCTCTGTTTTGTCCCTAGTATCTCACAGGCCAGTATGCCCTATTTTCAGAATATAGTTATTCTTTTATCTGCTATTATCAGTGTACTTATTAGTTGTCTTAGAGGGATAAGTGGTCACTTCTGCTTTGAACCTCCAGTAACTAAGAGCAGAGGTAACAATGGTGCATGTAGGCTAGCAGGAACTCACAAGACTTTTAAAATTAACTTCAGTTAATTCAGTGAGATTTTGATCAGATTCCAAATGTCTTTCTTACTCTGCTAACAGAAAAGACTACTTTATTCCACACTTCTCTGTAAAAGCTTCTGTTCCTAAAGCAGAAGAGTTACTAGATTGGATTTGAGGAGAATGGCTTTGGTGAGCTTTTGGATAAAAAGTAATAATTTTTAAAAAATCAATTTTTGAATAAAAGGTCAGTTTTGTTTTGTTTTTTAATTTTTATTTTAATGTTCACCTGACTTTACTCTGTATTTCCATCCACTATAATATTCCCCTTCTGAAAACTTTTCACCTCTGACCAGCAGGAGCCTGAGGTTCTTGTGTTGTGGTAATTGAAATGACCTTTAGGTTGTAAAAATAATGCACAGAATCATCACTGCCAATGAGAAATCAAGTAATCATCTCAGTTTTGTAATTATATGCCCTTTTGCAGGGATAGCAGAAATAAGGGAGATTAACCAGTAGAATTTACCTGGGAATCTGAGATGCCCTCAAGGTTGTAGGAAAAGGGGTTACCAGCTCTCATTATGACTGTGCTTGAAGCTTTCTAAATTAGTGATTTTGTAAGTTTTTCCCTATATTTTACTGATAGCACAACTGGTGCTAACAGGTTATCCCTTGGTTATCTTCCTTGACATTTTTATCCTACAGAAAGTGCTCAGCCAGTTGAAAGGAGCTGTATTTTGTTCTTAATTTTTATTATTTTCTAAGGACAATTTCTATTCCATATTTATGAGCAGAATGTAGTATTTTCTGATTTTATTAAAATTGCCACACCAGTTAAATGCTTAATTTGCTATGAATAAATCTGAGCCTCTGAATTTCTGATTCTGGAAGTATCTCTGCAAGTGTTTAGTATTTCTGTTGGGAGTGGTCTTGCGGAATAGCAGGACCCTTTTCCTGGATAGAAGGAGTCATCTGTTGTGGGTGCTTTTCTAAACCACTTTGTTAAAGCAACAAATGCATTGGAGAAAATACATTTTACCTAATGTAATTTTTTTACATAATGCATCTTATAAAACACATACAATTTTATGTCAGGAATATAAACAATTTTGTTGTAATTTAAAAGAATCTCGGGCACTAGTTAAAGTGTTAGTTTTCAAAAGCATTCATACTAACTAGATTTTGCCTAGTTGAAAATATGTTTCAAATGCAGTGAGCTGCTTTTCGTTTTTTCAAACTCTGTCCTTTATCCAGTTGCCATTAGAGGGAGTTATAACTTACTTGAGAGCTGAGTGTGCTCCTTAATCAGTTTAGCAGTCAGACCAAGCCAAGCAGTTTTACCCAGAGTAAATGGAGTGAAATTCTTCACATTTCGTATTTGTTTGCTTTCACCACAGCTTCCTTCTTTGGCTTAGTTGAACGTTAAATGCTGACAAGGGGTTTTAACTAAAGCAGGGTTTCCTTTGTTATTAAAAATATGATTTGTTTTGTTTTTCAAGTTGCTGGCATATACTGGGATGACAGATGAAAGAGAGTTCAGCAATCTATGTGGTGAACCAATATTTGATACTGGAATTAGTCCTGCATAAATATTTTTTTGCTTGACAATGTGTGCATCTAACGTTCAATTTCACATCTGAAATATTTCTCCAGGAAGTCACTTGTCTTTATTTATCTCTTAAAAAAAGACCAGAGAACCAAAACCCTCCAACAGACTGGTATCTACTGACTTTTCGAAGAACCAGTTGAACTGAGCAAATTCAAACTCTGAAGATATACCAAATGCTAAAATATGCATATTTATACACACATACACACTTATATAGATAATATATGTATTTCCAGGCAAGTAACTTTTTGGCCACCAGTGAAGGCACGAGTCCCTGTAGAGTTAATGGCTCTGAAGGCTGAACATTAACCAGCTCCCAGTTGCTATTGTTCTGGAATGAGAGAATTTGACACTCTATATTTCTTTATTTTAAGTGTATAACAGGGAGGTAAGTTCTCATTCTATGATTCTATGATTTTGATCTGGCAGCTTGCTTGCAATATCAAGCTTTTCAGTCCTTGTACCCAACACTTTCTATTCAGCTGACCTTGATGTGAAAGCTGGCACCACGATTCATTGTCTGTGATGGATGAGTTTCTTACTATATCACCGAGTTCCTCCTCTGAATTTCTGCCAGCTGAACAGCATAAAGTACACATAATGCCTTCTTTAACTCAGATGCTAGTGATCAACCATTTTCTGTTTGCTTGCACTGGAACCAAGATAAACTGTGGCTTATGCAAGAAGGGCTGCTGGGGAAGCATGTGTGGGCAGGTGGAAACCAGTGTCAGGGATGTCAGTGTGACTGGGGAGGCAGGAGCCAGTTGGTGCTTTGTGGGAGGAAGCATCCCTCTTCATAAATAATGAAAACATGCAAACTGGAAAAAAAAAATAAAATAAAATTGTTCAACATTGTCAGTTCCCTCTCTTCCTGTCCTCAGTGCCAGCTCTTTGTGAATAAGGTACAATGATTTTTCTGTCCAGAAACAGGCCAGAAATCAGGTTCGGATTGCAGCCATTCCTTTTGTTGTTATTCAGCGTTGGTAGACCAAAGCCAGTGAGCCCTGCTGTTATTGTGACCCATCGCCTGCAGTACAGGGGCTGATGTTGGCATTGCTCCATGGTCACAAACTGAGAGTAGGAGTCTAGCCCTCACCCTGAATTCAGTGCTCCAAACTTTGCATGGATGTGAGGGCATTTGGGTCTCTGGGATGAAAACTAACCATTTAACCTGTGTGTTACCATAAGACACATGGCTGTCTCTAGTTTTTTCTGACAAATAAGAGCTTCCACAGTGACCAACAGAAAATAAAGGAGAGATTCTTCATATTCAGTTATGTTGAGATATTATGTTGGAAGAATTGGAAGAATTAAAAATTAGTGTCCCTTTTCCCAGGTTTTGTAAAAAAATAATTACAGCTGAAAGCCACCCAAGGAAAAGTAAAAAACTGCATAGGCAAGCCTACTGAAGTGTACACCAACTGGACCCTACTTAAGACATCTACTTATCCTTGCAGGATGGAGTCTAGAAGTAAATTCAGAGAAGATACAAGGGTTTTAGGAATGCCAGTTTTCACAGTAACACTGTCTGGCTGACAGCCTCTGCATCTATACCTCACTGTAGCTACTGGAAGCTTGTAGGTTGAGATAAGGACAGTTTAATAATAGAGAGAAAACTTAAAATAATACTAATATTAAAATAGTAGTGATAATGATAACAGTAACAAAATATGCAAATGAGTGATACCCAATGCAACTACTCACCACCTGTCAACCAAGCCTGGCCTGTTCTCAGATAATGATCCCAGAGGAGCAACAATCCTGAACTGAAACCACAATCCCAGAAGAGCAAGAGCCCGGGTGAAAGCCAGAGAGAGCTAAAAGAGGAAGAGACCCTCACCAATATACTGAACATGATGTGATATGATATAGAATATCCCATTGGCATATCTAACTGTCAATTAAGTTTATTAATTTAAATATTCCTCACCCCCCTAGATCTTGGGCTTGTAGACTAACAGAACACAAAGTCCTTCACTTCCAGTGACACAAATGCAAATACTGGTGTGTTATCAGTGTCTCTCTCATAACAAGTCCCAGGCTGAAAAGCAAAACACAGCACTATTCTAAGTACTGAAAAAGAAACCCAACTCTGTTTCAGCTAAAAACCAGAACAGTCAGAGAGAAAACATGAGTGAACCATCCACCTTCAGAGATGGCTTACCTCTGGGTCATGAAAAGCACACTGGGAGTTGGTCTTCTTTGGAAAGATGCTATAAGCAGTCATAGAATTGTTGGATCGTAGATTTAGAAAGACCAGAACTATGTATACAGATAGGAAAACAAAAATCTTAGCATAAAATACATATAGGTAAAACTAGCTCCTTCCAGGCAATTTTAGACTTGCAGCAACGCAAGCATGAATGGAGAGCTGAAAAAAAAAATGTCAGAAGATCATAGTAAGTGACTTGAAGTGACAAATCAGATTTTATTTAATCTTGCATTTAATTTAGAAACTTTATTTACATTTGTTACCATCTGAACTGTCCTTACCTTTTAGAGCAGTACTGCTGTTTGTTGTTGTGGGGTTGTGAAGTCTCCTTCTCTGGAGACATTCAAGACCTGCCTGGATGCCTTCCTGTGTGATCTCATTTAGGTTCCTGCTCTGGCAGGGGGATTGGACTAGATGATCTTTTGAGGTCCCTTCCAATCCCTAATATTCTGTGATTCTGTGATACTTCCTCTACTATATCCTGAAACACGTTTACTAATTGGAACTTAGTGCTATGTGATAGAACCATGGGGTAGAAACCTTGTGACAGAGGCTAGATGGCAGCTCTGAAGTGTGCTCAGTCCCACCCCTGCCCGTAGCAGCTCAGTCACAGCAGGTTGCTCAGGGCTGTGTTCAGTTGGGTTTGAGCATCTCTAAGGATGGAGACTTCATAGCCTCTCTGGGCAGCCTATTCCAGTGCTTGACCACCTGCACAGGGTA